TTGTAATGTGCTCAGATAATTTCAATAAGTGCTTACAGAAAGAAAATTAATGTAGCCTCTAACTGCAATTGATTTACATGGGACAAACAGACCAAGCACTATGGCTCATAATACAATTACACCTTACCTGTTTGGACTATATTTTTATATTTCATCTTTACTTGCTGCCAGGAACGTTTGGGGCCTGTTGGGTTGCACCTGCGCTCACAGCACAAAATAAAATGTATGAAATACAAAATAAAATAAAATAAAATAACGTGTTAAATGGGTGGAAATCCCTAGATCAGTGTTTAAATTAACACTCACGCATTGACTCTGTCGGCTATGTTTTGCCATGCATGCTCTCTTTCTTTTGCAGCTGTGGCTGTGTTATTTTTTTCCCGCGGAATTTGCATGTTATCGGCATATGCTGCCATCAGAATTTCGGCCTCAAGCGCTGTAAAATACATTGACCGCGCCTTCTTTCCCTCCGTCTCCATGGTGACTCGCTTAATCTGTGCTCCACTAATCAGGGCTTTATGTATCCTCGTGCGCGCGCTTCACTTGGGATTAAAGCAACTCCGCGTTGATTGAACTAATTGTTATCAGCCTTTCTGAAACCGAATATTCCGAGCTGGACAGTTCGGGGTTACTCAACCCTGAGTATCGTTTTTCACTCTGAGTATAAATGCCCACCCAGCGTTTTCCTTCATCACCACGAAGGAAAACAGTCTGTGGTCGTCCGAGTTTGGTGATTTTTTTGTGTCACAGGTCTATGTGTTTAATACAGGGACTTCCACAGCCTTTTCAACAGCGCTGCGGACCGCGGGACGGGCAGTGTTTTGGAAATGACAGTCTTCATTACAAAGCTTTCTTCGTTATGAATTAGCATACATGTTTTTATTGAACATTTGAAGAACCAGCAAAAAAAACAAACTCTTGTAGAGGACATAAAGTCAGAGATAGAAAAGACAAGGAGCAGGTGCATCTAGTACAGGTAGAGCTGCTGCAAAAACCCACAGAGCCCAGCAGCCAGCGTAACAAATTCTGGATCCTTTGCTTTTAGTTAGCAGTTAGCATTAGCAGCACATCCTGCGTCCGATGTGAAAGGACTTTTATGCTGCGCACTGTGACCCGGGTCAGCCCTGACTTTGTGTTAAACTAATCCTAAAGTAATAATGGTATTTCTAACCACTGATATACCACAACTTTTTCCTTTCAACAGCTACTGAAAGTTAGGGGACCTAGCTGCTATCGGATATTTATATAGCGATCCTCCAGCTTCAAACTGTATCACCCTTCAAGGACCTGCAGTTCAAAAAAGCGCCCCTCCGACAGCCAAACCCATCTGTTCTCTGATTGGATTGTTACATTTGTGATTGACATGACATTGACCAATCAGATGACGGGAAGAAAAATAGGGTCAAAATCCGTACTTGTAACTTGCAGGGTTTTTTGGCAAAGTCCACACACAAATCTTTTTTACGCACACACAAATCTTTTTTACAAGTACAAAATATTTATGACCACATTTTGAGCCCATAGATCTGCTGCAGTATCAGGGTCACAATAGACTGCCCTGCTGCTGTGGATGAACACATGAGAGGAAATGAACTACAAAGTCTCATTTCAATGAGTGTGGCTGCTGTAAAGTGATGCACAGGAAGATGTTAACAAAAACGAATGAAACAGATGAAAGTAAACAGTGTTCATATTTGAAAGCACAGAGAATAAAAATATATTGTGGTGGTTAATGTGCAGCTCTTGGTGATTTGGGAGAAGAATAATGTTTTTAATCATGTTGTGGATTGAATGTTGGATTTTATTTAGTTTTGTGTACAGAAGACAGAAGTTTTTTCTACTTTTCATTGATCAGATTGATTTCTTTTGCTCACGTGAATATTTGAAGTTTAATGCTCATTTTCACAGGTAGACCTGACTATAAGTGTTCATTCTATGAAATGTTGATCATGGAGTGAACTCGGGTGTTTTGTTCAGTTTTATTTCTGTAGTTGAAGTTCTACAGAAGGTCCAGGCCCATGTTTTATAATGATGGGGGGTGCTAAGGTGTTGAAAGTCTTGGGTGGGGGAGTAACAGGTCATTGTTGGTAGAATCCGCAGCAGGAGCTGTTCAGGGCTGTTTGCTAGCTGTGAATTATTGGTGCAGTGGGGTCTTTAGGTCTGTGGTTGGTTCACCGTCTGATTGTTTTCCAGACAGAAGCAGAGTCATTAGCTGAAAACAGGTTTTGGAGTTTAGACTGTGATGCTGTGCAGCTGTCGTCACAGAAGCTGATGTTACAGGACGTCACAGCATCTCTATAATAATCCAAACTGTTGGTAACAATCCTGAAAACCTGCCAGTCGGTGCAGTCCAGACACACCTGCAGATTCTCCACAGCCTCATCAGTCCACTGCTTCAGTGTCTTTACAAAAGCTTTAGACAGTTTTTGTTTGTGCCTGTTTGCAGGGATCAAGTGAACCATGACATGGGGTCCGTTCTTCGTACCTGGCTAAGTAAGTTAGCTGGATTTGATTGTTGATTTCGCGTGATCCTGGATCGTTCGGTTCTCCGAAGCTCATCCGGGACTTGCTGTCATAGTAACAGAGCCGTAAGCGTAAACCTGCTCGGGAGCAGGCTTACTTTATGTAAACAGGATTAGATCGCGGCCACTCAGGTATGTCCGCTTCATGTATACGAAAGCAACAGCGATATTTTACCACTGTTTCACCATAAATAAATAACATCAATGTAACTAAAGATAATGCAGTATTTGATTCTTTTATTGATGTCACACAGATACATACAGGTCATTTCGTAAAAAAAGGGAAATGTACTATTAACATTCTATTACATGTATGTGATTATTTCAGATGTAATTCATATTTTAGAGTAGTAATAGTAAATTACTTCGTGTAATCAAGATGAGAGACCACGGCTATAAAAGCGAAGGTGGATTTGGGAAGCCTGTCGCAGCCATATCCTGTCCGTTTACGCGAGCCACCCATTGTGGAAGGTGCAAGATTGATAAGGAGAGTCCTCAGAATTCAGCGTATATTGCGGGATAGACAGGATCCTTTAGCTCAGCGCGACAGTGTGCTCATAGAGAGATATCGATTTTCCCGTGAGGGTATTATTCACTTAACCAACTTGTTGATGAGGGGGTGCAGGACCACCACCTGTCTTTTTTTGCTCTGCCCCTTTTCTTGGTTGCTGTTATAAACAAACAAACAGAGTATTTCAGGGTCTCTTTCCAAGAGACGAAAAGCAATATAAGTGATAAATATTACCATTCTGTAGAATGTTCTTATATTTCACTTTTACTTGTTCCCATGTTCTAGTGGGTCCTGTTGTGGCTCTAATGTGAAAGAGGATATAATGTAATATAATATAATAAATGTACCCTACCACCTACTGGTGTTGGCCAGAGGGGCCGATGGCGCGATATGGCAGCCTGGCTTCTGTCAGTCTGCCCCAGGGCAGCTGTGGCTACAACTGTAGCTGCCTCCACCAGTGTGTGAATGTGAGAGTGAATGAATAGTGGCATTGTAAAGCGCTTTGGGTGCCTTGAAAAGCGCTATATAAATCCAATCCATTATTATTAATATTATTAAATTACTTATGAGTTTGATTTGTCAGCAACTTTCTGCCAGCCCTCTCTCCTTGCTTTTGCAGCCTTTGCAGTGTTCCCTTGCGTTTTAATTAAACTCTGAAACTCCTGGAATCCCTCACTCAAGAGTTCTTGCTCTGCTGCCGAAAAATACCGAGCGCTCTCCTTCGACATTTTCGCAGACCAATCAAAGGGTTGCCGATCAATGTTTCTACTATCGATGCGTAGCCCCTGTTAAGCCACCCAGTGATCTCACATTACTTCATCCTGCTGTACTAATCGTCAACAACAAGTGTGTTCGGAGAACCGGGACAGCGAGCTCAAAGTTAGCGCGATGATTTGATCTTGGATGTGTCATTTGATCTTGGATGTAGTAAGCGAGGTACGAAGAACGGACCCATGGTCTGAGAATCCTGGTGCAGTGTGAGATGATGATCCTCTTACTATCAGCTCACCTTCAGTTTCTTAGATGTTTTCTCCAGTTTGTGTACAAACTGCCATGAAGTTCTGATGAAGCACCAAACTACAGTTACTCAGTCAGTGGAGGTTCAGTAGTGCAGTTTCTCACCACTGTTGTTAACTGGAGGCTGACACACTGACTGAAGACATTTAGTCTGAGTAGATTTGAACTTTCCTTCTTCATTGTTTCCATCTTGCTTTGACTGCAGCTGTAACAACACTGATTCCAGCAGGGTTTGTAAAAAGCATTTTGACAGACACACAAAGCTGGACAGCTTTTGTTCTGAGGGTTTGGAGAGAGCCTGTCTGTGTGTCTGCATTCACTTTGTTCCTCTAACAGAAAATCAATGTGCAGATGTTGATTCCTGCAGTGACTGTTGTTCCTCAGCCTGTAGAAACCATCCTGCAGCTGCTGGAACAAATGAATCTTCTAAATGTTGCTTTCTCTGGTTTGTGTTTGCTCTGCTTCTTTTTGTCAGAGATCAAATACATAAAAATATTCTTTTGTGTCCCAGCAGCTGATCAGCAGGAGGAGAATCTGACGGAGGAACATTTTCAGCCATTTGGACTCAGCTCAGCCACTACAGAGGAAACAATGAGCTCAACACAGATGGTGAGGAAGAAATGTTGAACCTGTGGTCAAGTTACAAGAAAATACAAAGATAACATTTTATAAGGATACTGAAGTAAAATAAAGTAATTTTTCATACAATATATTTTTTTTCCAATGAGCAAAATATTTTCTTTATTGTCATTTTCATTACAGAGGGAGTTTCAATTCAATTCAATTTTATTTATATAGCGCCAAATCACAACAGCAGTCGCCTCAAGGTGCTTTATATTCTACAGTAGATCGTGCATTAGTAAAAAAGTTTGTTCCGTGACTGCGTTTCACTCACTGCCTCTGTATCTCTGTCACTGCAGGACCGACATGAAGCGAGACGTCAGCGCTCTCAGGAGGCCGACAAACCTCACAGAAGAAAGAGAGAGAAAAAATACAGCTGTGACGAGTGTGGGAAGGAGTTTACTCAGAACTCCAGCTTGAAATGTCATCGGCTCATCCACACTGGGGAGAGACCATTCACCTGTGACTTGTGTGGAAAGTCTTTTACCGACGCCGGAAGCTTGAAAACACACCAACTCATCCACAGTGGACTTAAACCATACAGCTGTGATCAGTGTGGCAAAGCTTTTGCTCGCAGTAGCTACTTAAAGAGTCATCAAGTTACCCACTCTGGAATTAAGGCGTACAGCTGCGACATTTGTGGAAAAACTTTCAGACATCAAGGGTATCGAAATATTCACCTACGCATCCACACCAGACATGAAGTTTACTGCTGTGATCAGTGTGGGAAACTATTTGTAACAGACACACAGTTACAACATCACATGTTTACTCACAATGAGGAGAGACCTTATAAATGTGACAAGTGTGAGAAGACGTTTAAAGCTCCACATTACCTGAGAGTCCACCAACAGATCCACACCAATAAGAAACTGTACAAGTGCAGTTACTGTGAGGTATGTATTTATATTTTTTTCTCTTGTTATTTTAGCCTGGCTGTTTGGAACAACTCTGCTTATTCAGTTGTGTTAGCATGTTAGCAATTAGCTGGTTTCATTGCTCAGCTTAGCTCTCCACACTCTGGACTCTCTGCTCAGTTCAGTTGGTTCTCCCATTGCGCTGCACAGTCAGCAACTCGCCCAGTTCTCCATGTGTCTGTGATGTTTTGTCAACCTCGACTAGGGCTGGGCTATATCATACCGTTCACGGTAATACCGGTGTAATTTTGGGCAACGATAGGAAAATGACATCGCGATAGAATATGGGTAAAGCGCACATGCGCAGTGCCTTTGTTTACATACGCACATGGCGGCGATGCAGAATGAGAAGAGTGAAAGTGGATCGTTAAGTGAAACGGATGAACCAGAACTGGTTTGTCAAAATGCTGCAACTTCAGTGGTGTGGAACTGGTTTAGCTTTCGTCTGTCAGATACATAAAAAGAAATATTTTTGGTAGAGCATGTTAGTGGGCCGTTGTTATTACCGTGTTGTTTGGAAAATACGGCACACTTAAAATCAATCCTTTGAATTTTCTGAAACTCGACAGAGCCCCTTATAACCCCGTGTGCCTTATGTATGAACTCTGGTTGTGTTTACTGACCTCGAAACTATTTTATGTGCACGGCGCTCAAAAATCTGTCAGATGTTTCAGTACGACTTTGCTAAGCTACAAAGCCGCACCGCTTGATGGATTGTCGGAGCATTACGGCTATCGTAGGCGGAGCGATACGTACTGTGCTTCAACATAATGTTACCGTATTGTGTGTATGACCTCGTTTTAAGTTTTGTGGATATTATACATGGTTATGCTGAGGATATGTCGGCCAGGTTCCACTGGAAACGCCTTTTGGTTAAACTGTCAGCAAAGAATTTGCACTGTTACATTTTTATATAACTTTAATGCACATAAAAAACAGCTGCTTGTTTAAGTGAAAATATATTAGTATAGTGTCAATTATATCGTCAGTTATATCGTTCTCGCAAATTTTTAAATGTATATCGTGATAAATATTTTTGGTCATATCGCCCTGCTCTAACCTCAATGTTCTATCCATGACCCGTTCAACCTGCAGTGATTACTCTTTTGCAATCTAACTACAGTCCACTAACTGCTATGCTAAAGAAAACAGATGGTGGAGGCTGCCCGTATACACTCCACACTATTCCTGCCCACCTTTAAGGTGCAGGAAGCTGCTAGAGTAATCTCCTGAACAATAGTTATCACCACTCAGCCAACATTGCCACATGGAGGTATAGAAAGAGAAGAATTCAAAAGCAGAAGCAATTTTTTCCCCACAAAGTCTCAAGTTTTCAAACTGTTGCAACATCTCCTTTACATCTGTATGTATACAGTGGAGATGCTCTGTATCTCACTATACAACTGTGTAGTGACAATAAAGGCATTCTATTCTATTCTATGTATGTCTCTGAGCTTCTGTACTTGTATATCATTAAAATGGTGATTAAAAACGGGATAAAAATGTTGAAGCAATTCCCTGACTTACACTGTCTTTGTGTCTTTGTTTAGAAGCAGAGCGACACAGATGGATCCAGTTCTCAACCCTGTCGTCACTGTGGTGGTGGGAAAGAGTTTCACTGTGACCTTTGTGAAAAAACTTTCAGTAATCGACAGAGCCTAAAGCTACATCAACGCAGACACACTGGAGACAAAATGAGCTACTGCAAAGAATGTGGGAAAGGCTTCCCCATACCAAGTAAATTAAAAGAACATGAACTCTGTCACAGTGGGGTTAAAAAGCATGTCTGTGACCAGTGTGAGTCATCCTTCACCATTGCACGTGATCTTAAAATACATAAACGAGTCCACACAGGAGAGAAACCATACAAGTGCAGACACTGTGACAAAAGCTTCTCACGGTCAGGTCATCGTAATATTCATGAAAATACACACATTGAAGGGAACTTCAGCTGTGACCAGTGTGACAAAAGCTTCAAGAATCTCAGTTCATACTCCGAACACAAACGATCCCACGCTGTAAATAAACTGTTTCACTGTTACCAATGTGCAAAAACATTCACTTCATTATCTGCTCTGTGCAAACATCAGCGTGATCATGCAGGACAGTGATCACTGGATCAAAAGTATTTGGCCTTTTCTCCAAGCAGCCTGAATAAATCACTTTAATGTTTTTTTTTTTCTCCCTCTCAAACTCATCTTACATCACAGCCACTGTGATCTTTAGTGGACCGGTTCAGTGAAACTCCCCTTTCTGTCAGTGTAAAGAAATTACATATTTAACTGCTTTTATACACAACAAATGGGGGAAAAACTGTCAGCATGATTGTTTGAACTTAAATTGTGAGAAATAAATGTAAAATTGCAGAAAAGTGTTGACTGTACAGTTTTTGTTTTTAAGGAACAAGTGTCTATAGTTGAAAGTGAAAATAAACTTTTCTGTCCTTTAATTGTTTATTGCTTAATTATTGTTTTAAAGATTCTTGTTTTATTTACCCTTTGTCTCACTCTCCCTCACATGACCAGATTTACCTTGTTTCTTCTTTTGCTTTCTCGCTCCTGATTGGCCCTTAATTGCACTCACCTGGCTGTATCCCAATTCAGGGTCTGCAGCCTTAAAGTACGCAGCCTTAACGGTCCACACGGGCCGCGTACTCAAAGACCGCTACGGCCGGAAGTGCGAGGTGTTACGGCTGGTGCATTAACTTAGTGCTTAGGCACCCTTAGGCTGAAGCGGAAGGGGTGAGCCACCTTTTCTTTGGAACAGTTTTCTCCTATTTTCCGGGTTAGGGAGCGAGGGTTAGTATTGTCATTTGTTTGTTCTGTTTCTTTCTTAGGGTTTAGTTAGTTTTCTGGTGGGACTTAGTTGGTTTTGTTTATTATTTTGGCCTGGGTTCACCCTGGAGCTGTGCTTCATTACCTTCAATAAAATCACTTTTTTTTTTTACTCACAACTGGTTTTGGATGTTTGGCTTGGGAACCAGGGCGGGGATTTGTCTCTCTCTCCTCCAACCTTATGTGCGTCTCTACACGCCTAGACTAGGGGCGTAACATGAGGCTTGTGAAATGGGACGGTCTAGCCTCTGTTGCACTGCCCAGGTTGCCTAGCAACCATGATACTAACAGCTGGAAATGTTTCATACAGCTTTGTTTGACAGAAATGAAGGAGAAAATCTTTTATTTGTTTATTTGTTTCTACATGAGCTTTGATTTGATAAATATCTGAGGCTGAGACCACAGGACTGTAAAACATGATTGTTGGGCTTCATTTCTGTACTGAACAGTCATTTAAGATCAGCTAGTAAATAACAATTAGCTCATGTTGTTCATGAGACTAAAGTCATCTTACTTTGGTAATGTAAATATAATATGGCCAATATTAAGGTTATTATTTCAATCATTATTAGTTATTACAGCAGTGAACATGAACTCTGTTTCAAATACTGAGCTTCAGTAAAGATTCAAGCTGCACTTATTTATATTTCCCGTCACCTTAAATCTTCACTTAAAGACAGGTTCCTTTGACTGTGTTATATATAAGAGACAAATATTGTTCTTTTGTAATGTTGGCATTACTAAATTTGTCTCAGTGCTGACTTTAAATATCCATGAAATCATCACATTCTCTGTAAGATTAAGGTCAACTAACAATTCAATAAAACTTTATTGATCCTGAAGGTTGACCCCGATATTGTGAAATTACTAATATTGTTATGTTCAGTACTTACTTTTGAAAGTTTACTCTTTGGCTCGCTCGGGCCACTTCTGGGGTGGGGTGCCCTCGGTTTCTCGGCCTGGGGCTCGGTCACTCAGGCACAGCTGGCTGCCAGCGGAGCTCACGGGCTCGTCACTGCAACTCCCCCTGGCTTCTGCTCCGCGGCTGCTGAGTGAGCCCTCATCTGGGACTCTCCTTAGCTCTTTCTGGGACAGTGGCGCAGCTGCCCCTCTGTTGGTCTTCCTTGGTCTCTTGTGGTCTGGGGGCCTCTGGATGTCTGGAGTTTTGATCTCCTCCATACCTGCTTCATGCCCTGGAGGACGGGGCTGTGGCCCCCCCCACACCCTCTTGCAGATCATTACATGAACCTTTTAAAAACAAGCGCGTCCATGCTCACAGGTGTACACACGGGTGATCACACCCACAAACTACACCCTTTTTGGCTCCTACCTCAAAGCACACTGTGTTCTGTTGATCTTATGTGCTGCACAATAATGTTTAATATTTAGTATTTACTGTCATATTCCCATATATCATTGTGATGTTGTTTATTCTATTACTCTTGTTCTCTTCTGCTTGTTTTCTTTTTTCTTTCTCAGCAGGTGATCCAGGTGATTGATATATGCATTTTCTTTTTCTTTTCTTTTTTTTTCTGCTTATTCTATTGGTTTTTGTCTTTTGCCCTTCTCCCCCGTCCCTCTTCTCAGCTGTTTCTCTTTCCCTCTTTCTTTCTCCCCTTCTTTCCCCCAGTCAAGTCTGTCCCGTATTCAGTAAGTGAAAATAAAATAAACAATAAAAGGTGAATCAAATGGACCATTACGGCAAGGCTGGGATGGTCAATTTGGTAAAGTAAATCCGTTGGGCATCTTTCTTTGCCTTTAGACAACAATTCTGATGGCAAAAGAGCCAAACGGGACAGGCAAAAAAAAATAAAAAAAGATTACTCTTTGGTCCATGTTGGTTAGCAAGATTCTCCCAAACAGAGTTATGTCCCTCTGCAGCCACCAGTTTAAAACTTACACTTTTCTATATTGGTACAGATATTCTTATTTTCTGTTGATGTCTTATCCTTGCAAATTACAATGCCCAGATACTTCATCTCTTTTTTTTTTATCTGTATATTATTTATTGCCTGCAGGGGACACTCATGCAGAGCTAGTATTTCACATTTATTAATATTCAGCTGTAGGCCAGAAGCTTTGGAGAAGTGGTTGATCACCTGTAAGGCTGAAGGAATCTGGTCCTCATTTTTTAAAAACAGGGTGGTATCATCTGCCAGCTGACTGATTATTATCTGTTCACCCATCACAGTTAACCCGTCAATGTGACTGTTTTTAATCAAAATAGACAACAGCTCAGCAACCATGATGAACAGAAGTGGTGAGCTGCTACATCCCTGCCTTATCCCTCTATTAACCTCAAACCTTGAACATGTACCATGTTCTAGCAAAACAGAGCTGTTGATGTCATTATATAGCATCTCTATAACATTTATAAATTCCTCTCCAAAACCAAAAGACTGCAGAGTTTTTAATATGAACGTATGTTCAACTGAGTCAAATGCTTTGTACAGGATGTATCCTCTCTCTTGGATTATTTCACTGTACTCAAGGAGGTCCCAAAATCAGCCTAATATTGTTAACAATTAGTCTTCCTTTCAAAAAACCTGATTGTGTTTCACTGATAATGTTTGAGATGCCTTTCTTTAGCCTCTCAGCCCTTTGCCAGACAGGATCTTATAGTCCGTGTTTAAGGTGATGGGTCTTAAATTTTTATCGTTACCCGATTTAGGGATCAGGGTTATCAACTCTTGTTTCATGCTTGGCATCAGTTCTTTCTTCTCTATAGATTCCTTTAATGCATCAAATAATAAGGTTCTTAGGTCCTTCCAGAAGAATTGATAAAAATTAGTAGTGAGTCCATCTGTCCCTGGGGACTTGTCTAATGCCATTTTCATGATCACTAAATCCAGTTCCTCAATTTTAAGCTCTGAATCACACAGATCTTTGAACGGCTTGTCAATACATGGGATGAGATTATGAATCTTATTAAAGAAACTATCAGAATCAGCTGCTGAATATTCTCAGGAGTACAATTTGGAATAAAAAGTGAAGACTTCCTTTTCAATCTCTCTGAAATCTTTGCATTCAGTCCCATTTATCAACAAGCTTGTGATCTGGTCAGCGGGAGAGGGCAGGGCTCATCGGAGAGTTCAGTGGGGAGCAGTCCTGAATGCTGACATGACAATTAATGCCTTGCCATATCACCACGCTGTATGACTGTCATGTTACAGACAGGGCAGCGAAAGTGCACCGGCATATCATTTTGTCTGGAAGAGAGAGAGAAAAAAAAGAAAAGTCAACAACATGTAAATGTAGTTGTACAGAATGCAATCAGTTTATCTAACAATCTGATTGTACATATAAAAACAAACAACATATTGTACATATTAACAAAAATATCCAAGCCATCCTCAATAATGAAAGCAAATTGGTATAAATCATAAGAGCTGTCAAAAAATGTGGTGAACAGGAAAACATTTTTTATGAAAACACACTTTTTGTCTTGCTGATGAATGAATTGAACTGTACAATGTGAAAAGCAACTTTTAAGTCAACAAAGAGACTGCAGAAGTGCTGAAAAGAAGTGCATATTTATAACTTTAACTATGAGGTATATTTAATGCCAACATACCTTTGAAAGGCAAAGTGTCAGGTTTACATTATGTTTTCTATGTCTTATATGATTTTTGCATGGATTTGTGGAATTAACAGTTCATTTACAGGTATTAAAACTATGCAAGTGGTGCATCCAGGTTCAGATGAGGCTTTCACGGCCTATAAGTGAAGTTCACTGAACTAAAGAGAAATGTGGTTTGATGATTGTTGACATGCTCTCCAAATAGAAGTTTTTCCTCT